GCCCGTAGCAACGCACGGGCGTTCTACTAGTTTTTGTGGTGAAGTGACATTTGAGGAGCTCTAGACAAAAGATAATCAAGTATGTAAGGAGCATGCAGAATCAGCTATGAAGAGACTTCTAAGAGCAACTCCAATGAGGCAATCCATTTCGTCCACCGCCGTTCGTTTGGGTCGGCACGGACAGAAAAAACGGCACAATGCGCCGACCCAAACGGATGCGCGTCCGCTTTGGTTCGTCTGCCGACCCATTCCTGACCCATTTTTGAGCCGGATTTGCGTCGGCGCGGACATAAGACGGACGTGCGTGCGCTCGCCCTCTCTCTTCCCCGGGCTCGCTGGTCGGTGGCACATTGGCCTCTCCCCATCCAACAGCATACCCTCGCTCGCCTGCTTCGTCACCGACGCCGCCGGCAATTTTTTTCGATAGAAAAAGATACATAGATAGTTGTAGCATAGACAGATAAAAAAATGAACTACTCGTCGTTTTCCGACTCCGACTCGGTAATGTCCTCCTCCGACGTCTGAATGTAGGCGTCAGGATACCGCTCATCCTCGGAGTTCCAGGACGATGCTTTTCCTAACTTCAGGTTCAATTGAACAGTCTGCTTCCGCGCACGTTTGTCCCCCCGATAGGCGCCTCGCTCCGTCCTCCTCGCCTCCCTCTCCGCCCTCCTTTGCTTATAGAACTGGCGCTCGTCGACGATGTTTTGCGGAAAGCGTTCACACCACACCACCATGGCTTCCGCGTTCATCTCGGCGATGGCGACGCGACGCTGCTGCCTCCGGTGGTCACGACGATCCTTGCCAGTGAAAAGCCGCGGGAGAGGCGCGAGATCCTGCGCCCGCTGGCTCGACACGTCGGGGAAATTCATCTCCCGATGAGGCATCAGGAGGCGCCACACCGCCGCATCGTGCGCGCGGGCTGCCTCCTCTGCGGTGTCGAAGGTGCCGAGAATGAGGCGTTTCTCGCCAAACCAGATCTCGGAGGAGAAGGCGCCGGAGCGGCGCTCGCGGACTCCGCGAAAATCCGAAGCACCCAGGCGGCGCATCGACATGGTGGCGCAGAGGCGGCGAGGCTAGTGAGGAGGCGAGACGAGTGGGCAGCGGACGGAGTGTGGAGGGAGCGCCTTCTTATAACGAGCGCCGGCCGCACCAAAACCAGCGCGCGAACCTTTCCCGTGCGCTGGAGCGCCAAAACCAGCGCGTACGGTCATGAAATGGGTCGTCGCGTTGGGCGCACTGCCGACCAAATCTAATTGAGCACGGACGCCGGGCGGGCGGCGGACCCAAACGGACTCGAGCCGTTGGAGTTGCTCTAAAAAAGACATTTTGGAGACTATTTTTGTCTAGGGCCTCTTGATTGTCATCTCACCACGAAAGTTTGCATGCTCGGTAAAAACAGATTTATTTGAATTTTTTAAAAGTTTATTACTGTTCAAGAGGCAGTAGATCATCCCAGGCTCCTCTTGTCTTATTCGGAATATTTGAAGTCGCGCTGCTTTGAGTATGATCCACTATTGCCAGGCTGATTCTCAGCCGTTGGATGGGAGCTGCCTAGACCGTCGGATAACTGAACTGGTTCCAGTGTTCATTCAGAAATCAGAAGAGGAGATTCAGCTCCTGCCATCTGACAATTCGCCGAGTTTATCAAAAAAAAAATCTGACAATTCGCCGCCCTCTGCATCTGCTACGACACGGGGTTGTCTGCTGCCAGATTCGCCGCCGGAACGCCCACCCCGCCAATGCCGGTCAACTCGTTGGCCTCCGGCCCTTCCTCGTCGATTCTTCATGCCAGAAGGCGCCCGACCACGCGCGGACGGCGGCTACGTTATCGGAGCGTCCTCCCGGGCGGCACAGCGTGGATGTAGATGGTTTCTTCCCCAACTCCGGCCGGCGACCACGGCATTTGAATCTTCTCACCCGGTAGGCTCCCTACCAATAGGTCGTATGTAAATGAATCCCGTGCCCTCCCGCCTGCAGCAGCATTGACCTGCTGGTCCTCACCGCCCCAACCCTGCCCGGGTCTGAGTTCCGAGTGGCTCCTCATTATTTTCTCTGTTGGTAATAGTTAGGTTAAATTAGCAGCGTCATAATGGAACCTGTATGTTTGGGAATTTTATATTTGTTCGTTGCAGCATTAGCATTCCAGTAAGCTCACACCTGATGTTTGTATCTTATAATTGCAGGTGTATTCACCTCATCTGGTACAATATTTGTATCCCAGTTAGTTGACCATGCACTTTTCTGTTGTATATTTGCTGATGCAACATATCAGTTGTAATCATGGTACTTATCATTTCTTACATTGCGGATGTAAAGTTTTCTTTTTCTTTTTCACAGGGATTGCTGATGTTGAGTTTGTCACTCAGCAAAATATTTCTGATCCTAATAAATAATCATATTGTTACATAGTTTTGCCTCTCTTAACTAGGATCTGGATGCGGTGCAGGCCACACACACACTGCCTGGAAGGAGACGTCAGGGTTGTCATTGACTGGGATGGGCAGGAGGCGGCAGGAGAGGCAGTAAGCACCTCGACAATGACAGCCGTGACCCAGCTTATTTGGTTATCCTTCATATGTTTCCTAGGTTGATTTGTGGGAATTGACATGCATTTTAACATTTTACTGATTTATGTAATAAATACGTGACCATATGCCTATTTTAGTACTACCAGACACTGAGTTACAGTTTAACGAATTGCCTATCTATGATTCATGCCAGAAGCCCAGAACAATTCTTTTCTACTAACATTGAAATTCTACTATAAGCCTTATTCAGGGCCTAAATTTATTTAGATTTGCTAAACCCATACTACTTTTTGAACAAGGTGATGATGTCTTCACCAAAACTGCTCAAAAAAAGATCAGCTATGTGTTCTCTATTAGTGCTTTTGTTGTGGTACAGATCTTTTATCTCTTTGTTTTGCTCCCTCAAAATTTTGAAAAGATGGCTAACCTATTTCTTCCTTCAGATGATACATAAGAACAGATGATGCTAAGTTGTAGCCTTGCAATATGCGTTTTGATGTTCGTATGTGGTGTCTCTTTGATGAGAAAAAACAATAATATAATAGACAGCAAGACATGTGTGCTGTTGCTTGATATAGTTTGTCAAAGAGGGTTTAGGAAGGGGAAATAGCTGGCTGTTATGGCGTGCCTTTGATAGTTAGTTATATGTTAGAAAAGGTTAAACCTGTTTGTTCCTTGCCAGTCTTAAAGATCTTTTGATGTTTGTGGTCCTTTTCCATAGTTTATTTGTTAGAAAAGATTACAATCTGTTCGTTTTCCATGTGCAATTGATTGTTGAAGGTGGTAGTAATGAAGAAATTGGCATGAAAGGCAAGGATGGAGCAGAAATGGAAAAATTGATGTCGAACCTGAAAATACTAAGAAATTTGCTTCGAGAAATGCTGTGAAAAAAAAGCATAATATATTCTGCTATTGTGAAAAAGTAGGAGAATGATACATACATTTATAGAGTATACGATTCACTAAAGTTAACAACGAAATACATAATACATATTACTGTTGAAAACAGAACGGAAAATCAAACTACCTTTGCTTGTCCTGCTATTTGCTTTTATGATATGAGTCAAGAGTCAAGAAAAATATATATTTATTCATACATTACGTATGTTAACAAACAAACTATAAAGCATGACACACAATAGTTACAATATTTTCTCGAAGAGTCTCGTTCTTTCCTACATTTTCTAAAGCATTTTACCTTGCTGTTGCTGACACTGGCACCGGGGACAGAGGGGATGAAGCTTCACAAATGTCATCTCTGCTAGTTGTCTCAGAACCGGCATTGGTCTCTATGTCCATTGCACCCTCCAAGATCTTCACGACCTGTGACATGGCTGGTCGCTTGGTGCACTCGCGCTGCAAGCACCAGACTGCAAGCTTGATTACTTCTTTCATCTCTGCACCATGTAATTGAACGTCTTCATTCTGATTCTCCACTATATCCAGGACCTGACCGATCTTGATTTTCTCCTGCAGTAGGTTAATCAGATTGGTGCTCCCTTCAGGCTTAGTATCATCCAGTATTTTTCTCCGGCTCACGATTTCCAGCACAACAACACCAAAGCTGTAGATATCGGCCTTTTCAGTAATCGTTGATGTCAACCACTCTGGTGCTAAGTAGCCCCTTGTTCCTCTAACTTTGGTCATGACTTGGCTTTGATCCCTATCAATGAGCTTTGCTAAACCAAAATCAGATATCTTTGCATTAAACTTGTCATCAAGGAGGATATTTCCAGGCTTGATATCGAGGTGAACAATCTTCTGTCGGCATTCTTCATGAAGATAGGCTAAGCCCTTGGCAACGTCAAGTATAATCCTGTATCTAGATGCCCAACTGAGTGAATCACTTTGATTTTTTCTGAAGATCCATTTATCCAGAGAACTATTACTCATATGCTCATAAACTAGGAGCCTGTGCAATTTGTCGGAGCAGTAACCTACCAATCTAACAAGGTTTATATGATGAATACTGCCAATTGTGATAACTTCGGCCATGAATTCTTCCTTCCCATGTCCAATGTCCTGCAAGCATTTAACAGCAATTTTGACAGTTCCAAGTTTTCCCTCATATACTGGACCAAATCCTCCTTGCCCCAACTTTTTGCTGAAGTTGTTTGTTGCTTCTTTCAGCTGTTTGTAGGAGAACCGTGTTGGCATCCCAGGAATCCCTTTAAACGGATCCTCCTCCTGCATCCTCTTTGTTATTGCCCTTTTGATGTAGAGAAGGAGCACGCAGATGAGTACTACTAGAACAGGAACACCAACATGGTAAGCAGTTGCATTCAAGCCTTTACTCGATGACGGTGGAGGTAACATCTGCACTTTGATGTATGCAGATAAGTTATATCCAATGGTTCCATGTTTGTAATGCATGAGTGAAAAAAGTTTTGGCATCAGGTAACAAGAACCATAAGAGTCATTTTGATGCCGGAAGAAGACAGCTTTGCATGAACAGGCCTTCAAGCATGTGCCCTTGCAACTCTCTTCATCAGTAGTCCAATCATCTGCAAAATTGAAATATGTGACATCTGGGAGAGGCAAAAGCCGTTGATACTGGATCAAGTCACATGACAATGGAGTTGCTGGGGAACAGCCCAGATTAGGTTGCCGATCATCCAGCTGACGAAAAAGTGTGTCTCCAGAACTTGCAGCTGGGCAACTACATTGTCCCTCTGAACAAATCCCATACTCACCACACACTGTTGGATATGCACATTCCTCTGGATCCACATTCAGAACATCAGCCAAAGACTTCCATGAGAGACCGTTCCAGCCATAAAGGCGCAGGTGCCCATCATCCTCGAGACTCATGAGCTGTGCTGAAGATGGCCATGGCAGGGACATATCGAATAACTTGATGCGTGTGCTGTTTAAGCTGGCAAATGCTGAGAGGCTGCCTCGTAACAAGGAGATGTAGGCGGTGACATTCTTTGCTTCATCAGAGGAAATGTTAATCTTTGATTGAACAACTGCATCGGTGACATTGAATTTTTTCTGATAGTAGGACTGCGGGGTATCTGCATCGACGAAAGCATAGAGGCCATGGTCAAGCACGGTGAGGTAGAACTGACCTTGAGTCAAGTTTGAGGAAGCTGAAGTGAGCCTCTTCCCTTGCCTCAGCGACTGCCCAATAAGGAGCGTGTCGGTAGGGTGCTCAAATGACTCCCACACCGTCTTCCCCATCACATCGAAGAGGATCAGGTTCCCAGTATCAGCAAGATTCACACCGACGATGGGGCCATGCAATGTGTTTGTGGACCAGACCAGCAGGCCATCAAAGTCTCGGAGTATGAGATTGCCGTCCTTGGTGAGCTGGACGGACGCATTCTCCTTCACCAGATGGTGCCTGTTGGCCGCCCACACGACCCTCGGTGCGGCGGTGGTGTTGGCTGGGGCGCTGGTGCTGGAACCGCCAATGGACACGGAGAAGACCGCGAAGAGGAAAGCGCCGTCACAGGGAGCGGCGCAGATGAAGCCGCAGGCGAAGGACGGGGCATACCCGGCGGGGTTTTGCCTGACGAGGATGGCCCTGCTCGTCGAGCCGTCGGCGTATGTCGCATTGTAGGGGATGGTGGCGTTGTTGTTGGTCCAGTGGGAAGGAACGTTGGCGATGGGGCTCGGATAATCGACGGACCAAGCTTGGGAGGAAGGGGGAATGGAGAGCGCGAAGAGGAGGAACAGCAGCATGGTTTCAGCCCAAGACATGCCTCCTGGATTGTGAGTTCTTGGATGGAAGGTTGTGTGATCTTTTGGTCTGAGCAATGGAAGACTGTGGAGGTGACCTGAGGGAGAGGGACAAGGAGTTTAGAAATTGTTTATGGAGGGATACGTTGCACAATGATAGGCGCCCGTGTACCGGATTATAGAATTGGACAGTTGGGGTTTTTCCTGAGGGCTGGACGTTAGTCATGGAAAGCACTAGCTTTGAGATAACTTGAAGAAATAGGGTCATGCGGAGCACTCATGGAGGGTCAACGTAGTAGTACTCCCTCGCCGACGCACGCAGCGAGTTGGTCGCACGCACGTATACCAGCAGTGTCGTCGTCATTGGTATACTTCCATTCAAGTACTCCACGGTCCACCCACACGCCCCAAAATATGCGTCAGTGTTGGGACCGAAAATTCTAAACACACGGGCATTTTACAGGCCTTTACAGGCAGTTTTCAAACTAATCTTCACTTTAATTCCATCCAATCAAAACCAGCCAAGTAGGTCGGTCCGTTGATCCCGTGAAACACAGTCTGTGCGTATAGCATTGCTTGTGTTGGGACCTGCGTATCGCCTGCGTGCCTGAAAGTGGAAATTCTAGCGGTAACGCTACGTACCGGCACATCTGTTGCCGTCGGTCTCCGCGTCAAGATTGGTGCCGTGGTTTGCTGCATAAAGGCTGTGAAACGTTTGTTGGAACGGCTTTGGTTTTAGTTTAGCATCATTCACCTGTGTAGCTGTGGGATTAGTCTTTTTTGAGTACTGCTATACACTATACAGCCGATAGCTTTTAGACGACACGCAGACGACGTTTCCATCTAGCCATTCATACTTGTGTTTCTAGAGCATCTGACGATGCAGAGCTCTATTTTTTAGGGTACGCCGTAGGATTTGTAGCAGTGGACGCGCCTGCTCTAGTTTAGTGTCTAGGTTGTTGATCGCTCACACAATATTCGGGCCGGCCCATTAGAGCCTGAGATGGTAGCAGCGAACGATTTGAAAAAAAATCCTTTCTCACTGGTTTTTCTCTCTGTTTTATATATTTTTTGTTTTATTTTGTATGTATTTATTTTTCATTTAAAATTTTCAATAATCTTATGCGGTATTTATTTATTTTTTGTTTCCTTTTTCTTTCTTTATTTTTTATTTTATTTATTTATTTGTTATCTTTTTCATATTTACTTTTTACTTTTTGGTGTTTCTTTTTATGTGTTAATGTTTTTCATAATTATTTACTAAACTGACTTCAAAACATGATGTGTTATCATTTTTTTGTTAAAACATCTTTTTTTTTGAATTATTCAAATGGGTTGTAACTGTAAGCATTCAACCGGTCACAACTGCAAGTTTTCAAGTCGGGATGCAACTGCAAGTCTTCAAATAGGGTCGTAACTGTAAGTTTTCAACTCGGGTTGTAGCTGCAAGATTTCAAAGTGGGGTCATAACTGCAAGATTCTAAGTGCGATCGCGACTGCAAGCTTTTAAGTGCGATCGCGACTGCAAGCCTTCAAATAGGGCCACAACTGTAAGATTTCAAGTCAGATCCAACTGCAAGATTTCAAAGAGGGTCGCAACTGCAAGTTTTTAAATCAGGTTGCAACTGCAGGTTTCAAACTAGGGTCACAACTACAAGATTTCAAGTGGGATCAGAACTACATATTTTTCAAATGGGGTCGCAACTCTACGTTTCAAGTTGGGCCGCAAATTTTTTTTCTCTAAATATTGTTACCAGTTTGTTTCTACAATTTTTTTTAATAAAAATAGGGTGTAGTACTTCTATTGGACATATATAGTTCGTAGTCAGAGCAGTGGAAGGTAACCAGCCATTTACTCGCAAAAAGGGTAACCAACCATTCAGCAAGGTCGTGGAATGCGACACGCTGCAACGACACCAGATAAAGAATATTGGGACAGGTAGTGCGAGGTACAAAACATCAACAGGAAAAATTTACATGTCAGCTCAACAAACAAACAGACTAACTACAAAATATAATGACATCATATGAATGAGACCAAATTAAATCTCAGCCAACTGAGTTATGGGCGCTCCCTTGTTGGAAATATACGTGCAATACACATTGACATGCACAATTTTTTGTCAAATGATTGTCAGGCAAGAAAAAGAGAGTGCAGAGACAAGTGGTGGGGTGCATGCACACAAGGGACTCTCTACAAAAAGAAGACTTGTGTTTTATTTTGCCGTGAAATTTTACAATTCCTCATAACTTTTGAACCACATTCCTGTTTTTATTTTATTTTTTTACATATTTGTATTTAGGTCGACAAGATCTTTAAGCAAGACCAATCTTTGGTATGACTAGTTTGAATTTCCGATCATATTTCAGTTTCACTCTATTCAAAACAAAGATTTCAACCATTTCAAAGAACTAGTTTCACTTGTCAATAAACCGGTTTCACTCATTCCAACATATTGGTTTCACTCATTTGAAAGAACTGCTTTCAGTCATTTCAATTAATAGCCAGGTTTCAATTGATTCAAGAGCTGATTTCACTTATTTCACAGACTAATTCATTCATTTTTTTTGAAATTGATGTTTGGGAAATACAACATATTTCACTTATTTCTAAACACCATCCAAAAGATTCAATTTTGTTTTACAAAGTACCAATTTCAGTTTTTCAAAACACCACTTTTAGTGAAATGTACAAAACACTTTTTTGAAATGAACAAAAAAAATTCTTGCAAACCTAATGTGTGAAACTGATTGTTTCACATTTTGTGACACTGTTCATTTAAAAGAGTTGAAACTCAATATTTATGTTTAATTTATATTTCACGCATTTCAAATAAAAAATTCAATAATTTCAAAATCATTGATTTCATTTAATTCAACACATTCATTTCAACACACTGGTTTCACTCATTTAATAAAATAGTAATTTCAATTGAAACCATGTTTCAATTAATTCGAAAGCTAATTTTACTCATTTCAAACACTATTTTCACTCATTTTTTGAATTAATGTTTGTGAAATATAATTGATTTCACTTATGTCAAACCACCATCCAAAAGATCCATTACAACTTTTTCAAAGGAACCATTAAAGCTTTGTCAAAATATGAGTTTTATGAAATGTACAAATCACTTTTTTGAAATTAACTAAAGCATGGGTCTTTGTAAACACAAATGTGTGACACTGATTATTTCACATTTGTGACACTAGTCATTTCAAAGAGTTGAAACTCATTATTTCTATTTCAGTTATATTTCACTCATTTCAAACAATTTTTTAACAATTTCTGTATCATTGATTTCACTGTAATCAAAGCACCGATTCCACTCAACTCAGAAAAATAATTGCACTTATTTTAAATACGCGATTTCACTTATTTCACCCAATTAAATTTTTTTTAAAAAAAGGTTTTTGTTAATGTCCGCTAACCAGGGCAAGCACCAAGCGGACAAGACCACGCAACAGTTTTGACACACATCGACCGATATATTGGTACTAGTACATCACAGCCACAGAGTGATACGGTTTTCAACACACAATTCCTTCCATGCCCATTACTTCACGTAGCCTTGGCAACTAATTCATTCATTTTTTTTTGAAATTGATGTTTGGGAAATACAACATATTTCACTTATTTCTAAACACCATCCAAAAGATTCAATTTTGTTTTACAAAGTACCAATTTCAGTTTTTCAAAACACCACTTTTAGTGAAATGTACAAAACACTTTTTTGAAATGAACAAAAAAAAATTCTTGCAAACCTAATGTGTGAAACTGATTGTTTCACATTTTGTGACACTGTTCATTTAAAAGAGTTGAAACTCAATATTTATGTTTAATTTATATTTCACGCATTTCAAATAAAAAATTCAATAATTTCAAAATCATTGATTTCATTTAATTCAACACATTCATTTCAACACACTGGTTTCACTCATTTAATAAAATAGTAATTTCAATTGAAACCATGTTTCAATTAATTCGAAAGCTAATTTTACTCATTTCAAACACTATTTTCACTCATTTTTTGAATTAATGTTTGTGAAATATAACTGATTTCACTTATGTCAAACCACCATCCAAAAGATCCATTACAACTTTTTCAAAGGAACCATTAAAGCTTTGTCAAAATATGAGTTTTGTGAAATGTACAAATCACTTTTTTGAATTTAACTAAAACATGGGTCTTTGTAAACCCAAATGTGTGACACTGATTATTTCACATTTGTGACACTAGTCATTTCAAAGAGTTGAAACTCATTATTTCTATTTCAGTTATATTTCACTCATTTCAAACAATCTTTTAACAATTTCTGTATCATTGATTTCACTGTAATCAAAGCACCGATTCCACTCAACTCAGAAAAATAATTGCACTTATTTTAAATACGCGATTTCACTTATTTCACCCAATTTAAAAAATTTTAAAAAGGTTTTTGTTAATGTCCGCTAACCAGGGCAAGCACCAAGCGGACAAGACCACGCAACAGTTTTGACACACATCGACCGATATATTGGTACTAGTACATCACAGCCACAGAGTGATACGGTTTTCAACACACAATTCCTTCCATGCCCATTACTTCACGTAGCCTTGGCAACTAATTCATTCATTTTTTTTGAAATTGATGTTTGGGAAATACAACATATTTCACTTATTTCTAAACACCATCCAAAAGATTCAATTTTGTTTTACAAAGTACCAATTTCAGTTTTTCAAAACACCACTTTTAGTGAAATGTACAAAACACTTTTTTGAAATGAACAAAAAAAATTCTTGCAAACCTAATGTGTGAAACTGATTGTTTCACATTTTGTGACACTGTTCATTTAGAAGAGTTGAAACTCAATATTTATGTTTAATTTATATTTCACGCATTTCAAATAAAAAATTCAATAATTTCAAAATCATTGATTTGATTTAATTCAACACATTCATTTCAACACACTGGTTTCACTCATTTAATAAAATAGTAATTTCAATTGAAACCATGTTTCAATTAATTCGAAAGCTAATTTT